ATAATTTGAAAAGTTCTGAGATCTGCGCGCTGGTTAATAAAATATAAACCATCAAATAGAAGTTAATGAGTTTGATATCATAGTAAGTATCGCTATTACCTCACGGTTATCTAACTTACTGCCGCTCTTTTGTGATAAAGTCAAGGAAGCTCTAAATCTTTTGTCATTTTTGGAGAATATCATAATTATTGTCTACGCAAGAGTCAGTCTAATGAATCGAACAATTAGTATGCCGAAAGTACAATGTATTGCCATTGGTTGCATATCATATTGTTTACGCAAGAGGCTATCGAATGATTCGAACAAATAGTATGCCGAAAGTACAATGCATTGCCATTGGCTGCCCTTCACAACGTAAGCCATTTTATTCGGAATGTACGAGGGCTGTTCGAAAATTATTGAGACAATTACTTTTACTCCACAAAGGACAGAGATAAATTCATGAAAGTTCGTCAACATTTCATAAAGAACAAATAAAACAATTGTACTAAATTTCTAATTTATAGGATAATTAAATAGGTTCCGGTGAAATTATAAACAAGCATGTGTCTATTGACCTGAAGCAGCATCGCTACGTCATTTTATCGCCTGGTTAGCCGATATTTTCTCATTGTGAAATGATCGGGAATCATTCAATCTAATTTCTCTGTCATTACATATAACATTCCAAAATTCAAACTGTCTCTTACAATTCTTAAACAATTCTTCACAAAAAAAAATTAAAATAAAACGTGTGCTGTTGTTACCCCAGTGTAAAATATACACGAAGTGTCATATACAGGTTGACTTAGTATCATGCAATATCGAGTTGTGCAACACGGGTCAACGTTATTTAGTCCGTAATAATTGATGGTCGTCCGGAGCATTTGTTTCTACTCTGGTTGAATTATTTGTGAGAAAAAATACACCAATGAAAAAATAAACCCTTAGACATGTTTTATTGCATTGTTTTTGTTTTAACAGGTCGTTTAGTCTGGACAAGAGTTCTCAATACCGCTACACAAAATTTTAGGTATGCTCGCTGCTCCGCCTTGACGCCAAAATCCGTTTTGTCGTCGTTATCAGATTGCTATATCGCGCTTAAATTTTTTAATGATCTCCGTTTTTCTGATCGAAATTCTAGCAAACTTGCACAAGATGAAGTCAAAATTAAATCGAAAAATTATATACATAATTTGAATATTTTCGCTCTCACTGTGGATCCACTGGGAGTTTTAACGTTGGTGTTACAAATTTTCAATATCTGATTTCGTGACTGCGCCGGGTACCCCTACCATTGACACATTTATCTACCATTGAAAAGAAGAAATAAAATATTTTAAAAATATTTCTTGCTTTTATTAATTCGTAGTGTTTGTCAAACGTATATGCAAATTTTCATCGAAAAACGTTCATTAGAAAGAAGAATATACGCAATGTCTCAATAATTTCCGACCAGCCCTCGTAAAGACTTCCAAAAGTAACGTTTATTAGAAAGAAATGGTTGAATTTATCGTATTAAAGTGTCGGTTTAGCAGAAAAAAATCCACAAAAATGTGATTCAAGAGAACTTAGTCTAGCATCTCCTAAATTTTATCAGCGTGTTGCATCATACATTTGCAAGATATTTTACCAGGACTTTTTTGTCCCTCAAAAATCTACAGTGATCGATCTCGTAGACAGTATAGTAGTGTATTCAACAACACCTTGCCCTCAGCTAATTGACTTTTCCTACCTCCACCGCGAAGAGTTCCGTTTGTTTAAGTAATCGCGATATCAAGCGCCTCGATCTGACGCCTCACAAAAGCTTCTCCTAATTATAAAACTCAGATTAAAGAACAGACTCTCTATTTGGCGGAGAAATATAAATAACAATGTCAACATGTACATAATTATCCCACCTAATCAGAATTGAACGTGATTTTATTGGTCATATCCGCATCACATGATGTCGTGTAATGCTCCTTGAAAAGTCCCTAACTTTACATGTAAATTTTCCGGAGTGTCACGGAAATCAAATAAGGCGGACACTTGCTTAAGGCTGTTTAGATCGGTGTTATTTATCATGATTTATTTTTCATTATTCATAATCCATTCTAGTAATTTTTCATATACGTATTTGGGAAAAAAAGCTATACGCAGCAATAGATTTTATATGAAAAACTGGAATAGAATCAGAAAAATTCAACAACTTCACTGAGATATTTGATCGCTTTTCTCCCTATAAAGATCTTCGATGGCTTCGACTCGTCCTTAACAAGCTTTCTTTTCTCACTAAGTATTTTTACGTGTCAGGTCACTAGTTATCTGGTTCACTAATGTTATTAATCTGTCGATTAACAAACTTTGAAAACTTTAATGAAATATTATGAACAAGACATACTTCATATTCAGGTCGATACAATATACAATCAATTTCTGTTAAAATGCAACGTTTTGAAACAAATTGGCGCGAGAGAGACCGCTTGTCAATTAAACCCTATGGAACGGTAACAATTTGTCGACAATTGGCTTCTTGTGAAAGAATGACCATCACTTGTTCAAATTATTAAATTAATCTGATATACTGCTCTCCCACACGTACTTTGATTTTCGCTTGAAGATTTCTCTCGAAGCATTACAAAAACTGCTGCCGCTAATTTGATTAACGAGTACCGTGATATGATCATAACGACCCTACTGTTTCAATAAAAATGACATGATCTGTGAGTTATTGGTCAGTTCTATTGGTCACGTAATTGGGTATTTGTCACAAGAGTGGGAATGAGTGGTGAAAACATGGTCAAGCACCTAGGAAGCAGTTGTTAATAAATGTAAGTAAGCTCGTGTCCTGCTTATTATGAAAATCTGGAATACATGTATTCTGATTTTGTACGGATGCCCTAAATTATTACTATAAAGGTAATCCTAGGTTTGATTTAGCCACCATCCTTGTAGTTCGTATTAATACCTTTAATCTTAATTTAGTTATATAAAGTTTTCACGACAAAACCCTCCATATGATCATAACAGATTTACATATGGCAATAAATCATATTAGGCTACGTTTTTGTGTACAAGGGTCCATTATTAATATGGTTTGAAACTGAAAAGCCCTAATGGCGGAATTTGGGAAACACTGGTCTTAGGAAGAAGCAGGGACCTACAGAATGTCTAAGGTAAAGTAACTATCGGCCAATTATCTGTTGAGAAGACATACCTGACCAGGTATTGTCCGGTGCTAATTGGCATATACCCAGCGGAATTAAATCAAGCATGCACTTGTATGGATTTTTGATTGGATATTGATAATGATTCGCCGAGCAAGTGTCTCAAGTAATGTCTCCATATATGATCTGTGCCGACTTGTCAATCAGCGCACATAAAAGCTAGCGATACGATCGAACCAGAGATAATGGGCTATTTGCTGTTAATTATTTTAATCCTCATGGCTTGTTTTTATCGTTAATGAAGATGGTGTTATACATTCTTGAACACATTCGAAATTTTAAGAGGTTATTTCTTTTTTTAAACATTATATGTTAAAAGCATTATTGAATATAATCATGACAATTTTAGTCGATAAAAACGGGGACGCAAAGAACATGAGAGTACATTTGATACAGAAATTTCCAACTTTAAGAGGTTTAAAAAGGCATTGTTAATTTTTCATTTTTTATGTCAGCAACGAACAACTTTCTTCATGTTTGGTTGGAAATTTTGGCATAAATGCTGAAAATTTTTGCATAATGCTTTTCTCAAAATACAACGTAAATGACCTTTTATCAATGTTTTTTTTAACCCCGCGTATACATGGTGTTTATTGAGCCTTGCTTGTTTAAATTATTAAATTATAATATTGATTACGGTGTATATCTTGTTATGAAACTGAATTTCTTTATTATGCAGTCAAATGTAATTGTGATACAAGAATAAAGAACCGATCGAATGTGAATGACATGCGACAAAACGAGTTCAAAAATCGACCTAATGTATCAAATTCATTTACTACACTCATACAAATATTATTGGTGCACTAGGTACAGTACATACACAGTCATCATAGTTCAATTGAGTATATGATACAATAATATATAAGTGAAAAGCGTACTTTTGTACAATATTTAGCAACAAACACGCACAATGGAAGCAGAAAGAAAAGAAGAAATGAAAGAAAAAAAATAAAAAAAAAAAAATGAGGACGTTTAACTTATGGGGGACAGATTGCATCATATATTTTAGATATGAATATACAGAATTTGTGGTTTACATATTTTCAATAAACTTAATTATATTTCGCGTTTTGCAAAATCTCGTTTGTAAAAGGGATCTTCCTAATACTACTCAATGTTTTTCACACAAAACTGAAAAGGAATTCGTCTTCATGCTATTTGATCTTAGTTTCATAATGAACAAAATCTCTATTCAATGCAATATTTGAACACCATCATCCAGACTCAGTTGGAAGGCGGTGGTTTGAAATATGGATAAGACAGATCCACCCGCATCCAAGATGAAGTAGGATCCACCCCCCACCCCCCCCCCCACCCCACATTTTTGCTTCATATTATATTCATTGCACTCTAAGTGTATAATTTCAGGGAGGTTAGAAAATCAATTTTGGACCCGGGGATTGTATTCTTAAGTCTTATTTCAAACTTCTTAAAACTGAAAAACAAGATGTAAGGATTTTCTAGATCTCGATTAAAAAAAAAAATTGGAGAACAATTTTTTTCTTCGAATTTTCTTTTTTTCTCTCGATACAAACAATACAATTATATTGTCTTAATCTTAGGAATACGCAGGTACTTTAAATAAAAAATAATGGGAAATAAATATGATTTAATAGTTAAAAATCATAGATAAATAATAAACTATAATCACATTCGTAGTTTATTTAAGTTCTAAGAAACAAAGAATGTTGATCTTTTTTTTTCAATAATTAGAACCTACCAGAAAATAATGACAGAAGTACAAAATATACTTTAAAATCGACATATAATTTTGAAAACCCAAAAGTATCATATTAAAATAAACATTACCTTTTCAGTAATTTTTCTTCATCTCGGACATCAGTATCCAAAAAATTAAACTCAGATGCTATTCACCGTATTCTTCTGCAGAACAGTATGTTTGAATATACAACAAACTGATAACCATGGAATATCACTTGCAATAGGAATATATGAAAGTCCGACTGACATCCAGTAATTGATTGTGACGTATAATTCTAGGACCAAACCACAAAAACGTTTGGTTCTATACAGGAATCTGATAATAAAACGCATTGTGGGATGTGACAGATTATCGAACAAGTGCAGATGTTGAATACCTATAAACACGAAGAAATTGAGATTGGATATTAAAAAAAAACCCAAAGCGGGTCTTGGTGTTATGAACTACATATTTCGTAATATTTCATCATGCAATTTTCTTACTAAATTGAATAAAGGAAAGGGAAAGCCCCCTTTTAGAAAGAATAGCAGATGATGTAATCAATACAGTGTAGCTGAAAAGAAGGAAAACACAGTAATTAATGAAATATCTATTTAAAAGAAATCAAATGACTGGATATACACAAGTATTTAGTTGTTAGCAGAAAGTTCTTCGGAAGATTAATAATGAAACGATAAATTAATTACGCTTAGCCTGCTGGTGTTTTGACGTATTAGCGTTAATCAAGCCTATGTGAAGCCTACAAAGTTACATTATTTTACGGTAAACGTCACAAAAGGATTCATTTTAATGAAAGTTATAGAGAATACAATATTTTTCATGCTTTGGGGAACATGTATTGCACCTTTTCTGACAAAAGTCTTGTTAGCGATTTCGATCCATGATCAACGAGTATCAATTAATTAGCACATTCGGACGAGAAGTCGAGAGTGGCCTAGAACATTCAAATGGCTTTATGGAGCTTTAGAACTTCGAATAAAAGGATGGACGTTTGATTAATATGGTCTGGTGACTGAAATATGTAGAAGGCAATGCTATAAAAAGTTATGAATGAATATAGATATCGTGTTGACCGTTTGAATTAATGCCAGTTAAGAACCAGAAATCTCTGATTACACGTAGCTTTACTAGTTATTATGTCATTCATAACGAAGTAAGAAACACATATTGTTTTGTTCGCAGGGGTTCTCGGAGATTTTGATAAAACTTCACAGTAATAACAGTCAGTGAGGGTTGACAGGTCATTTAGATATCTTATAGGATCTCAATTGGGTTTTACAAGCATGGACCCCTTTTAACATCCCAAACAAAAACTATTATATTACATGTATAGCCACTCCTCTGTTATTCTGCGTCCCACAGGAACCTTGATGAAAATCCCAAGGTTGATTTTTTAAAATCTTTATTATTTAAAACAAATTATGAAGCCACATTTTTAAAATCAAGTAACACTGACAAATTGATGCCAAATATTGCACCGATATCAACCAGCAACGATTCACAAAAGCCTTGGTGACCAAGCGAGATTCTCTATTTTATTGACCGTAGCTGTATACTGAGTACAACTTTCTTACTTCTGTTTTGAGCCTCAGAGCTACTTTTTGATTCATCGTCTAATTCGGACTTCTTCATTCTGTTTTTACTTTGCTTTTTTTCAAACACTCTTTGATTCTATGACCAGACTTTCTTGTTTTGTCGTTTATATGGAAAATGTTTGCAATAAATGACTAGAACTGCGTAATTTCGGGGATTTTTTGTTATCATAAAAAGGGGGATTTCGATATCCATGTTACACTAGTCTTTGCTGTAGCACCCTACCAAAACCTTTTGTGGAAAGTGCCTCTGAAAACACTGGCTATTTGAACACACCCTTCCTCAGCAAGTCATATTCACTGGCTGAAGCGTCTCCTGTTGCCTGTATATCTAACCTATACAAAATGTAATCTTATCAGGGTTTTCAACGCGTGACTAAAGGTTGCCTTTTGTTGGTTTTACAATTTGTACCAAGAGCTCCAGATTTTTTTGACGTCATACAGGTGTTGTAGTGTAGGATTTCCCCACATAGCCAGCTTTCCCCTGTTATCTGTACTCTGGAGTAGTTTTTCCCACGGAGGGGAATGTCACACTTGAAATAAATTTCCCCTCTTTTTTTCTCAGAGTAGGATTTCCCCTTTTTTATCAATGCTTAAAACAAATCGCCAATATTTTGCTTAAAGTTTACACGAAAGTTAACTGATTTTTAAAGTGAAAATATGACTTATTTCGACTCAAGAATTGTCAAATTTAGTATGAAATCTTGAAATATATACGGTACTTCAAATCACTGAATCTTAACCCAAAATTTTAACTCACAGGAAATCATAAGAATTAGTCACTTAAAAAATCATAAAATTCGATGTCTCAACATCGTCTCTCGGTTCAAGAATCCTAAAATGTATATCAGACCACTTTTAATGATTTGATAATTTTTTTGCCCTCTAAAGGCCCAGTATTTTATTTATATATCGATCCTAGTTAGAAAGAGTGTATGAGAAAATTTTAAAATTTATGTTATTGATAGGTTCCACATGCCATTTTGTGAGCGTTTGAAACGAGTAGTTCTTCAAAGGGGTAAAAGAGGAAACTCCACCCCACCCCACCCCAAAAGAAAAAAGAAGCACTGCTTTTGCAAGCAAAAGCATTTAGTATGTATCATCGATCCCAGCGGTGTACTATTGGACTTCAAAGCAGATACTCTCTTAAAGTTTTGCATAATTTCAAATTATTAGAAATAAATGACCCATTTTTATAGTTCCCTGTTGGCAGATGTTTTGGATTTTTAAACACCAGAACCATGGAGGGACACTTACACATCAATATTACGTACATGAAATATGAAGATAACGAACAGTTGTTAAGCTCAAGAGTACATTGAAACAATACAAATTGGAAGTAGAGCAAACACGGATCTCTAAAAACCTCAGAGGTGGGATCAGGTGCCATTGTTCAGTAAGCATTCCCTTTCAACCGGTCACACGCGCTGTTTGCTCCTTGTCTTGATCGGACAAACGGAAAAATCCGTAGACAATTCAGTTTGAAAAAACGGTCAATGTAGTTTGAAATACAGCTGGAGAAAAAATCCGTTTGAAATAAAATTCCTCATTGTTTTCATGGATGCAGTTAAAAATTTGTTCAACCGATGACATGTAACTTTTTAAAAAAAAAAAAAAAACAGTTTGAAAAGATGAAAAGAAAAGAATAATATTTCAATGCTTCAAAAATTTGAAGACAGTTGCTGTAGATGATGAAAAAAAAATTAAAATAAATGAGCTTTAAAATTCTATACTATGTTTCAATGAAACTGGTCACCATTTTGAAGAAGGGACACTTGTAATAATGTATCGCCCCCCCCCCCCCCCCATATATAAGTATAGCCATGATATTTTATTGGGGGGAAATCAGCACTCTATAATGAAAAAAAGTTGAAGATAACGAGCAGTGATCGATCTAAAAAAATCTATAAACAATACAACTCTGTAAAGAGGGCATAAAACACCGACCCCTAAAATTCCAGAGGTGGGATCAGGTGCCTAGGAGGAGTAAGCATCCGCCGTGAGACCTATGCATGGATCAGGTAAACGGAACACTCCTTAGTCAAATTCAGTCTAAATACAAAGACCTAACAATTGTTATGAAACAATTCAGCTAAAATACGACCCAAAGATCGGTTATATTTGCTAACAAGGTCATCATAACGACCACAGAAATAACGAAATGCTGACTGTAAACGGGGTTGTAGAAATCCCTATAGCATCATCTTGTCTGTCAGTAGCCTGCCTTTGTTTAAAAATTGAACGTGATCGGAGCATACTCTTTTGTATCGAATAAGATGGGAGATGCATACACCATATTCAGTTAATAACGGGATATTGCTACATAAATAAGAAAAGTTGATGATGGAAAAGTTGAAGTTCTCGTTTGTCATACAGTTTACTGTAGTTGTTAGTTGTCCCTTACCGTCTTTAGTCAGTGAAATATCCAGATATAAAACAGTTGTTATTGTTAATTGATATTATATCTCCGATATATTTGAATGAAGGTCGACACAGCAAGTGTTTTCTTCTTCTCATGAAGAAGTTTTTTTTAAAAAATAAATTCTGCTTTATAGGAATATAAAAATAGGTCTGCTAATAAAGGAGCACAATTAATGCCCATCAAAATTCCAACAGCTTGTTGGAAGACCTGGTCTCCAAAGACTATATAAATGAGGAACATCCTTTTTAATATCAACTTCAGAGTACTTGTGTGTGGAATCAGAGTGATTTTTAACAAAGTAATTTTGTCGATGACCAATCACAAGAAACGAAAGTTTGCGCAGAATCTATGATATAAAAAAACCTAGTTTTTAATTTATCGTGAGGAATGATTGTGTCAAGTATTTGATAAAACTGACTTTTGAAAAAAAATTGCAATTTTAAATTTTCTAAAAGTTCTTTGGAGTATTTAGGAATCACACCACATCTGATTTACACCACTTCTAGAATATGTTGTAGCACAGTACGTCTGAAGTTTCTCCTTAACAGCAGTTAATATTTATTTTAGGAGTAAGGATAGAGGCTTCGTAGAGCATTTGCTTGACCCTACAATGGATCTCTGTTTGTAACGATTTTCATGAAGTTTAGAAATTCAATATAGGTAGGGTGGATCAAACTGACCTTGGTTGACTGGAATGTTAAAATTTTGAATACTGAAATGTGCATGATTTTGAAGAATTTTATCTTTAGAAAGTGAACTGTGAGAAAAAGTCGGATGTAGAATTAAATCCAAGTTCTTCTAAAATACTGTTATAAAAATGGGCCGTGCAAACAAAGACAATATTGTTACAAACCTTGTAGACTGGAACCATAAAATATTGTTTATGTAATATTTCTATTGCTTTGATCACCTCGGATTTAGTGAAAACGGAAGGATAGATGGTTCGCATATATATTGCCTATGAAATTTCTTATACGATTTTTAAAAATATTTCTAAAACATTTGATCCATTCTGACAAAGTGTTCAGATCTTTCTTTTCATATTTAGCCCAAAGTCTGGCATAATCTTCAAAAAAATTCGTGTAAAAGTGAAGTTCTGTCCAATTGAGAGGTCTGGGCGTCCTGTATTTAGGACATTTTAAGATGATCGCT